AAAAATGTACAATTCAACTCTCGCTGGTTTGGGTCAGTGGATAGAGCATTGGCCTGTGAACTGAAGGGTCCTGAGTTCGATTCTGGTCAAGGGCATATGGCCGGGTTGTGGGCTCAATCCCCAGTTGGGGGTGTGCAGGAGGTAGCCAATCAATGATTCTCTCTCATCATTGATGTTTCTATCTCTCTCTCCCTCTCCTTTCCTCTCTGAAATCAATAAAAATACATAAAAACTAAAATGTACAATTCAGTGGATTGGTTTTTAGTATAGTCACAATGGCAAAGTAGTGCAACCATTACCACTATCTAGTTCTGGAACATTTTTATCCCCCCAAAGGAAACCCATACTCATTAGCAGTCCCTCCCTATTCCCCTGTCCCCTGGCAACCACTAATCTACTTTTTCTGTCTCTGTGGGTTTGGCTATTCTGGACATTTCATGTACTAGTAAATGGGATTATACAATATGTGACCTTTTGTGTCTGGTGTCTCACTTAGCTTAATGTTTTCAGGGCTCATCATTTTGCAGCATATACCCGTGCTTTACTGCCTTTTATGACTAAACTATTCCATTGTATGGATATATTCCCATTAGTTTGTCCATTCATCTGCTGGTAAACACTTGGGTTGTTTCTAGTTTTGGCCATTGTGAATAGTGCTGCTGTGAACATTCATATTTCTGTGTGGACCTGTTTTCAATTCTCTTAGGTATATACCAGGTAGACCTGCCATGTTACGTGATAATTGTTCTTCCTTGTGGCTCTGAGCCCCGGTGCTCCCGCCTTGCTAATGCTGCCTTGATGGGCCTTCCCTCCCTTGCTGCTCATTCGTCCCAGATCTCAACTTCTCGGTATCACCGCCTGGATGCACTACCCGCACAGGGGCCTTTTGTCTCTAGCTCTGCTTTCTCGGGTACCTGGGCTAAGACGTCCCCAACACTTCATATCCCCATCCCTGCACTATTATTTCCCTTAGCATTTACAGCCACCTGATGTCTCCTGTTTATGTATGTCTTTGTGGTGTTGGCCTCTTCCTACTGGAATGTCAGACCCGTGAAGTCAGAAATTTTTCTTTTCTTGGTCACTGTGATTGAATTCTTTAGACCTAGTGTGTGATAACATTTCTGTAAACGCAGACATTTCTCTACTTCCTTTTTGTCCTCATACTTTAGGACTATGGTCCCAAAGTCAACTTTCGGAAACAAAAGCTCAAGACTGCTGGCTTCCAAGGCCTCCCCAGCTTCAGCCGGGAGATAGTGCGGAGAATGGGCCTCTACCCCATCCTGGAGGACTTCCGGCCCGTGGAGCAGTGTAACCTGGACTACTGCCCAGAACGGGGCTCAGCCATCGATCCCCACCTGGATGACACCTGGCTGTGGGGGGAGCGGCTAGTGAGCCTCAACCTCCTGTCCCCCACCGTGCTGTCCATGTCCCGGGAGGCGCCCGGCAGCCTACTGCTCTGCCTGGCCCCATCCGGCTTCCCGGAAGCTCTGGAAGGTGTGATGGCCCCTAGTAGGTCCGTCTTGTGCCAGGAGGTGGAGGTGGCCGTCCCCTTACCCCGCCGCTCTCTGCTTGTGCTCACCGGAGCCGCACGGCACCAGTGGAAGCATGCCATCCACCGCAGACATGTCGAGGCCCGCCGTGTGTGTGCCACCTTCAGGGAGCTGTCGGCCGAATTCTGTCCTGGTGGGAGGCAGCAAGAACTTGGGCAGGAGCTCCTGCAAATCTCTCTCTCCTTTCAGGGGAGACCCATGTGAGCCGCCTTCCTGGGGACAGGAGCTGGCACTGGGCCTGGCCCGGGGTGCCGGCTCCAGACTTGACCCTTTGCCAGGCTTGAAGGGGGAGCCCAGCACAAGTGTCTTCCTTCCCAGCTCATTAGGTTTTCCAGAGAAGACTGCTGACACCCTGACGCCATGGCAGCATGAGCCCTGCCGGGAACTGGTTTTGATGGGGATGTGTCTCAGGTCAGTCCCCTTTGAGCTGCACTATGGCCACTTGTTTGGGTTAATTTGTCACAGTTTGACGAAGTGGCATAATTTGAGTTTTAAAAACTTTGGAATCACTTAAAACCATTTTCTCCTTTATCCATTTGTCTCAGCGAGGTTTCCCGGTGCCCCACCCTGCAGTCCCTCCATTTGGGTAGCGTGCCAGATCAGAGATGGATTGGTAGAAGATCTGGGGCTATTACTGTGTCAGATTTCAGAGCTGGTGACAGTTTCTGAGTCAGGCTCTGCCTGGGTCATGCTTGACCCAGACTTGGGGTGCAGGATGCAGCAAGGAGAGGGAAATCTCCTGAGAGATTTAGCCCACACATAGGAAAGCAGGAACCTAAATACGGGGTGGGCCGGCTGGTGTCCAGCTGGGCAGCAGTAATGCAGAGCCCTCCCTCGGCCTGGTGGCACTCATGAGGAAGCTCCCAGATTTTCCTCATAGCCCAACCCACCTCCGCCCACGTAATGATGTTAAAAAGTGGGGAAGGTCTCTTCAGCTCCCAGGATAGTACAAGGTGGTTCACTGGCTGGTGCTGGTGCTGTGTGTGGTGCTCACCTCGATGGGTGGCTGCCCCTGTGCACCTGTGGCCGGGCGTGCAGGCTGTGGAGGTGGAGGGAGATGGCAATGTTCCCTGGGTCTGCATGGCCAACCCTCTCTCCTGTTGCTTATGTGACAAAATACACTCAGCTCACCCGCCCCATGCTGGGAGCCAGACTTGAAGGACCAGTGCCCTAGCCTGGAAAGTTTCATGGCCGGCACTGGTCTTCATAGTCACTCTGGAGCTTTTGAGAGCAGGCAGGCTGGGGGAGGCACTGGCCACCGCACTGCCCATGAAGTGGTGTCATAGTTGCTGAGCCACTTGCTTGCACTGGAGAATGCTGTGAAGACCCAGTGGACAGGCTGTGTGGGCTTCTAGTGGCTATTGGGTGGGGGTCGGTGAGCTCCCAGATGCCTTAACTGCTGTTTCCGGGTCAGCTCACTCAATAGGAGGGTGGAGGACAGCTTCTTCTCATCCTCCGGAAATTCTGTTTCTTTGTTACTAATGATGAGGCCCAGAAATCAGGATTTTAAAAAGATTCCCAGGTGATTCTCATGTGCAGCCAAGGTTGAGAACCACTGTGCTATGTGGAGACCGTCAGGCCCCAGGTGCTCACCGTCTCACCTAAGCACCCATTGCCCATGGGGTGGGGCTGGGGTGTGACCAGGCTGGGTGCTTCCTCCAGAGCCGCTCTTGGGCACCAGTGCAACTGCTGTCCTGTGTTTCTGAAGGGCTGATCCCAGCAGCCACAGCCTGGGGCACACGTCTGCTTCACCCCCGTATTTTAGGTAGCTTTCCTGCCTTCCTTCAGCACTGGATGCTTGTCTGTGCTAATGCTCTTACAGTCTCAGACTAGAAGGCTGTATGGGAAGATACTAATACGGAAGCATCCAGTCCAAGGGGGGTTCCTGCAGCGCCCTCTTCCAGAGTAAGTTGGGGGAGTCTATTGGCATTCCTCAGCCTGCACTGAGGAAACTTGGGGCTGGTTCCTGTTCACAGGGTCGGGGAGTGAGGCCCAGGTTGGTCCTAACGGGGGGGCTGAGCTCAGTCCAGGGAGGACCCTTGGTTATTTCTGCTGAGACTTGTGCAGAAACTCCCTGTACCTGTCTGCATGTTTTAAATGGGCCTAGAGCGGAGTCTAGGCTCAGTCCTGTCCCACCTTACCCTGCTGGGCCCTGTCCAGGGCTCTGTGGACGCTACCCCTCAACCTTCTGGAAGCATCTGAGTCAGGAGTGAGTGTCTCTCAGCAGGTCAGCTGAACAGTAAGTGGGCCTGGCCACGGGCTTGCTAGGCTTGCTGGGGAAATGGTCTACAGAGTCAGTTTGCTGCCCCTGAGCTCTGTCCAGAGCTCAGGCCTTTGGTGCCACAGGGCCTGAGGAGTCCTCCCTCCGGGCTGCAGAGGCAGTCTGGCCCCCTGTATTGGCAGAACTTTCCCTATAGTGGTGTCACCTGCTTTGCATGCCTAATTCCTAGGACTGTCTGGCTTAAAGTGCCAGAAAATTAATAATGGACAGAAATTCTTTCCTAGAAGGGCCTCTACCTCATTGGGCAACTATTACAAAACAGAAAATCTGGGAGCTTCCTTGTGAGTGCCACCAGGCCAAGGGAGGGCTCTGCATTACTGCTGCCCAGCTGGACACCTGCCTCAGCCCAGAGCCACAGGTTCCTGGGGTTGGAGAAAGCCGGGACTTCAAGCTGACCCTGTCCAGATGGCTCTGCTGGCACTCGGCTATACCTGGGGCTGCCCCTTGCGGTGTTTCTGGAAACCTGGGGCTGCCCCTTGCGGTGTTTCTGGAAAGGGAAGGGAAGCTGCCAGGCACGACTGGGTCCAAGTCCCCTGTCTGTCTATTCCAGAGAAGTCTCTGACCTGGGAAGCCTATTAGGACACTGGCGGTGATCACCAAATAGGAGGAGGCAGGAGGGGCTTAAGGATCCAGGATGCAGCAGACACCAGGGAAGGACCAGCAGCTATCACAGCATTCCACCCAGACAGAAAGAGCAGTGTGTAGCTTGTTTATTCAGTTCAATCCAGGGCAACTTTTAAAAATCCATATACAGGACTGTGGTCTGTACACCGTACATAACCTACACAGTGTCATGCATAATGAACTAATCACAAGACAGATAGGACTACAGATGAACCCTGTCCGCTCAGCTTCTGTGATTTTATCCTCCACAGACCTTCCTAGAAGACACTAAAATATGTTCTGCCCCCCCAGTTTCTAAAATAGAAACACTTCAGTTTTGATACTTCTGGTCAGGTACTAAATGGAGACTGTGTTCCACTTTGGAACGGGCCTCAAGTATTTGCAGGCATTTGTTTTACGAGCACCAGGAAGGCTCTGCTCAGAGGGAAACAGGGCAAGCCCACGCTGCCCCGGGGCGGCCCATGGCGCCTCCCCATGGAGAGGCCTGTACTGGAACAGTCCACAATCTCCTTAAACCTCCGGAATCCGAATTTCTAGCCTGTAATTTGCCAGCCCCTCCCCTAAACTGCCCTGCAGAGTTGTTCCTGCAGCTCCAATGTGTAGCTTATCCTCCATCTCCAGACAAGCTCCGCCGCTACCCTGAGGTGGTCCTTCCCCCACCCCGCCCATCACCAGTCCCCAGACTCACTGTCATCTCTGTTCCCACAGAAATTCTTTGCCTCATGTCTCTAGAAAGGCTGGAGCTGGGAAAGCGCTCTGGATGAGAACAGGAAATGACAGGAACGTTCATCTCCCAGTTTGAACGTGGTATGTGGCACTGTCATTGTGCACCTCGTATCTGACCTTGTTGCGGTCAGGCCGAAAGCTCTGCCCGTGGATCAGGCATAATGGGCCCCCACTGACACTGGGGGTGTGCTTTCCAGTCTGGGGAACATGGGACTCCGTGGACCTGGCACACTTGGGGCAGCGGTACCAAATGGCCCAGGAAAGTGGCAGCAGGAGTGAGCTCAGCATGACCCCTCAAAAGGCTCAGGCCAGAGGAAGAGCTTGCTGCCTGCTCCCAGCTAGTTTTGTCACTGCCAGGTCACTAAGTGGCTGTCTTGCAGTGATGCTGACATTCTTTTGCAAAGCAAACACATTAAACCAATTAAGCCTTTTCAACAAGACTGTGGGAAAGAGGAAACATGCACTAGAGAGCAAGCAAGTCAGGACAGATGTCTGCAGAAGGTACAGGGGACACGCCCTTTAGAAGACGCCAGGCCTCTTCTCTGGCCTGGAGGGACACCATGTCCAGGCTCCCCGTAAGTGTCACCAGTCAGCATTTCAGAGTTACAGGTTGAGGTTTATGCTCTCACCAGTAGGTCACATTCCCAGAAACTTCAGCCAGGCCACCCAGATCCCACAGAGATATTAGGCTGTGGATAGAAATGTCATCAGAGCATGAAGTCCAATGAGGAAATGGCCTCCTTCTCCAGTTGGCTGCCAGCCAATGTGGTAAAGGTGGTTTTTAGAAGCAGCTTGGGGTATAGCATGCTCACACGTAAGCTGAGCTGCAGCCTGTATGTGACCAGCCCAAGAACACGAGCTAGGGCAACCAGAACCCATGCTGCGCACGGCAGTAAACGCGCCGGCTGTGGCTGAGAGGCTGGGGCCCAGGGGGAAGCATGATGTGGGGTTGTGCATTCTCTGCATTTGTTCCATCTCATGAGCAAGACCCACATTTGGCCAGGGCTGGCCCTTGGTGCTACCACCCCTAGACCAGACCAGGCCAACAGCCTTGTCTAGATAGCACGTCCCCCAAGCTGCCCCTCTGCTGCCAGGCACCATGGGCAGCAGGGAGATGGGCAGGCTCTGCCACCTGAGCAAATGCCCCTGGCCTTCTGGGACCAGAGCCTGGAGGATCAGGTTCAGAGGGCATTCTGTGGCCAAGAGATGTAGGCCTCTGGACTGTGGGCTCTTCCCAACCTGGTAGCCTTGCTGGGTCAATGTGGCCAGGGCTCCAGGCTGGCTGGGAAGAAAGAATTTGAGCCCAGTGTGCTTTGGCGTACCCCTTAGTTATCAGCTTCCTCAAGTAGGCTGCCCCCAGACATGCCTCCCCAACTCTGCCAGGCCTCCACTCGTGGAAGTCTCCCCCAGGCCCTGACAAGTCTGCCTCCTCCTGGAGTACCCATACCTGCTGGGCTGACATGTGCCCCAGGCTCCTGCCTTGCCCTCAAGCCAGGCCACCCAAACCCCTGCAGAGCAGGGGAGGGAAGCACCAGGCCCAGCAGTAATCCTGTGCCCATCTAACTGCCACAATTTCCACTGAATCACAGCAGGCTGGTACTATCAAATGTGCCACCTGGCTGCCAGGCAGTGCACCTGAGGAGTCATGGGCAATCCTCTGAACTCCCAGCCCTACCTACCCTGACTCCCCGGCCTCCTCCAGGCTCCCTGCACTGCTGGCCACTCCTTCCCCATCTCTGAGATGACCACAGTGCTGGAGCCCTGCCTGAGTCCCCAGGGCCAAGGACTCAGCCTTTCTTTGCCCTAAGCTCTTAGCAACAGAATCAGTCTCTTGTTTAAGGATTTCCATTTTCTGAGGGAAAATGAGCTGGATTTTACGGCATTAAGACAGGAGTAAAAC